ATATATATATATATATATATATATATATAACAACGCATGAGCAAAACCACATATATACACATATACACAAATACACACACATATATACACACACAACACATATACACATAGACTGGGCCACAGCATCACGTGGCAGGGGACAGCTAGTATATAATATATATCTAGGGTCATGTAAACATTTTTCAAACTGAAATGGGTCACAAATGTAAAAGTTTAAGTAGAAGGAACAGAGAAGCTTGGCCATACAATCACTTCAATACCCCTTTTCTCGTATGATGAGTTCCTTTTACGGAGCCCCCAGTGGCGCAGTGGGTAAAACCCCTGTGCCGGCAGGACTGAAGACCGACAGGTCGCAGGTTCAAATCCGGGGAGAGGCGGATGAGCTCCCTCTATCAGCTCCAGCTCCTCATGCGGGGACATGAGAGAAGCCTCCCACAAGGATGATAAAAACATCAAATCATCCGGGCGTCCCCTGGGCAACGTCCTTGCAGATGGCCAATTCTCTCACAACACTCCTGACATGAACCAAAATAAAAAGGGGTTCCTTTTACCTCCCAACGTTGCGTGCCAGAGCCTCCTGGATCCCTCGGATCTCCTTCTGGGTCTGGTCTATTTTTTCCACCGTCTGCAAGAGGCGGACGCTGAGGGCCTTCTTGGTGCTCTTGCTGGCGTGGTAGATCTCCTTGCTGTTCCTCTCCAACGGCGCCAACCCTCCCTCTTCCTGACCGGAGTCTTTGCCCTGAAGCTTCTCGTTCAGAAAGTCGAACACGTTCCGGGGCTTGGGACTCTGCCCGCAGGGACGGGGCGCCCGGTTGCCTTTTGCCCGCCGCTTTTTGGACTTGACCGGGTCAAGCTTCCCCTCTCTCTTCTTCTGGAGGATCTCGGCACATTGGTCCAAGGATTTGCCTTTCGGCAACACGACGGCCAAGACGGGCTCCACTCGACCCTCCGAATTTTTCCCCAAACCTGAAACAGGGAGAATAAAGAGTGGTGGTAGCAACAAAGAAAGCCCACTCACTTATTTCCTGTCTCTTATATGCTATCCTTTCATGTTTGCTTTGTGACAAAAATGCACAGGGAAATTGTCTGTCTGTTGTTTTGTTTTTAGTTTTTCTGAATAAAAATTACACTAACACGATATTTCTTCCTGTTATAAACGTCATCTCCTAATTGGTTCTATCATAAAAACTTGGGGAAAGTTTATTAAACTTCAGAAAGTTTGTTTTTGCCAGGACATCCTGCTATAGCACATTTTCCTATAGTTTTTTCAATAAATATCTCAACCAATTCAACATTTTTTGTGGAAGCCACGAAAACAAGTTTCTGGAGTAGAACAACTACTTTCAAAGTAAGTACCATACAATTAAACAGGAAATAATACTTTCAAACCAGGAACAAAAAAAAATTCAACGACTAAGTATCATGTATCATGTTTTGTTATTGATGGTGGTGGTAGGCCTAGCAGATGGTGATGGAAGGGTTAATGTGAGACTTAGTTCTAAAGGGTTGAGTAATCTTTATTTTTTTCCAACTTCCAGAGCCCTGACTTTTTTCTTCCAATGGCTGAAATGATACCTTTTAATTAAGGAATGCTTCCTGCCAGCATTCTCAGGATGGTCCTCGAGAAGGCCTTACTGGTACATTATTTAAACTGTTATGTTTATTCATATCATGATCTGATCACCATGCTCACCATGGGGGTATTGGGATAACGATACAAAAGGGTTGCTACGGTAGATCCTCAGCTCCCCTCCCCCTTGAATCAAACAGCACCCCCCCCCCCCCCCCAATCAAAATCCGGGCTACGGGCCTGCTTCCTGCACAAATATTGCTTCAGTATAATCTAGAGAAGTAACATTTTTTGTTGTACACATGCATACCTTTTCCCAATTCGTATCCCATCTGAGCAAGCAGTTTGGAGCCAATGCCACGAGTGTGTGCTTCCCAGCTGCCAAAGGCGGAACTGCAAGTGGAGGGTCCTTCTGTGGTCTCCGGGGCCCCGGAATCAATGACTGCGGCAAAGCAACAGAGATTTAGGACAGAGAATAATAATAACACTTTATTTGTACCCCGCTACCATCTCCCCAAGGGACTCGGTGCGGCTTACATGAGGCCGAGCCCAAATACAACAATACAAATAGTAATAACAACAATACAAGCAATTAAAATAAAAACATAAGACAATAAACATATAACATTGTCAATAAGACAACATACAATTAAAACTGTGGGAAGGCCAAATGTAAAATTAAAATTGGAAATAGTGCTGAAGCATGGACGAGAAGGTGATAGTGGAGTTTGTGGAAAGACATACGAGCAGACCTAAAAATGTAAAGTGCTTTAGAGGGACAAAGTGCTATGGGATCATTATTCCGGGAAGGCACACTGGAACAACCACGTCTTCAAGCTCCTCCTGAAGACTGCCAGAGTTGGAGCCTGTCTGATGTCTTTAGGGAGTGAGTTCCAGAGTCGAGGGGCCACCACCGAAAAGGCCCTCTCTCTCGTCCCCACCAATCACACCTGCGATGCAGGTGGGATCGAGAGCAGGGCCTCTCCAGATGAACGAAGAGATCGTGTGGGTTCGTACGCAGAGATGAGGTCACGAAGATAGGCGGGTCCCAAACTGTTCAGGGCTTTGTAGGTAAGAACCTGCACCTTGAATTGGGTCCGGTAAATGAATGGCAGCCAGTGGAGCTCCTTGAACAGGAGGGTTGACCGTTCCCTGTAAGGAGCCCCAGTTAACAACCAACAAGCAAAAGGGATGAACTTTGAAAACACAACATAGGAAAGTTGCTTTTTCTGGAACACAACCCCTAGAACCCCCCAGACACAGATTTATCATGTCACTGGGGGATTCTGCGTCTTGCATTGCAAAATTACATTGACCAAGCCTTGTTCTACAAGTATGGGAGGGTTCCACCTCCCCGTATCTTCTACCTCTAGCGTAAGCAGCATCATCAACGTTATCGCTGTCCGACTCAGATGAGGAAGAGCTTTCCTCTTCGCGCAGTGGAGGCAGCACCCCGTCGCCCTCCACCACAGCCTCCTTCAGGAGCAGGGAGTCAAACTTAACTGTGTAGTAACCGCTGTCAATGTCTAAGGAAGAAGCAGAGAAATCTTTCAAAAAGAAGACAATGCACTCTATGTACCATGGATGGGCAAATGTGGTGGGTTTGGGACCCAATTTTCAGCTCCTGGGACTATCCAGGGCTGCACCAACAAACAAAAACCAAAACTGAAAAGTGGCTGGATGTCTACTTTTGATTTTGAAAAACTCCTTTTACAAAGTTATTTGTACACCACTTAAGTTAGCACTCATTGATTGTGAATGTAATGGTTTAACAGTTGGACTAAGACTCGAGCCCCCAGTGGCACAGCAGCTTAAACTGCTGAGCTGCTGAACTTGCTCACCGAAAGGTCGGTGGTTCGAAACCGGGGAGCAGGGTGAGCTCCGGCTGTTAGCCCCAGCTTCTGCCAGCCTAGCAGTTCGAAAACATGCAAATGGGATCAAAGATATTTAAAGAATTTATCGGTACGTGTTAAATAAAATTATTATAAATTGGTTTGGAAATGGTACTTAACACCAATAAAGATTGCAAATATTAATACGAATGCCACAAAAACTGTTGGAGAGGTTGCCAGGAAGTGGGTACATATATACATATGTGGTGGCAATGTAAATATGTAAATGAATTTCGGGGGAAGGTATTTGGAGAAATAGAAGCTATAATGGATATGAAAATAGGAAAAAGTGCAAGCATTGCACTGTTGTCACTAAATAATGTTAAGAAAGATGCAATAGATAACATGTTAACTGCAACAAGATTACTGATAGCGAAGAATTGGAAAGGTAAAATAAATATACCAATTAAAGAATGGTATAAAGAACTATGGAAAATAGCAATAAATGATACATTGACATGTAGGTTAAGCGTCAGGAAAGGGGTATGGAAGGAAAACGACTTTGATGAAGTTTGGGGAAAATTTATTGAGAATGGCTTAAAAGAAGTAGATGGGAAATTACCAGAAGAAGAAATTACAAGAAGAAATGGTATTTTGGAAAGAGAATGTAAATTGAAGTGGCTCGGAGGGGGGGGGGGCACAGAGGTGAAAAAAAAAAGTATACAAGATATATATACACTTATAGCTGATGTAATGAATTGAGTATGGAATATAAGAGTATTGAAGGTATTGATATTGATGTGTTCTAAGAAAACCAATTTATTTATTTATCGTGTCAGGGGCAACCAGACCAATAAAAAACCAATAAAATGTCAGAATATGTTAAAGTATGTAATGTGTTTTAAATGTACTTTCATGTAGTTGTAATATGGATGCCACAAGATTGTACTGCTGTGATGTATGTTTATGTTTGAGGCTGTGAGACAGTAGCACTGAGATACTCTCTGAACTGAGTTGTGAGAGAAATTAGGGAGTATCTGATATCTGCCAAGCAGCTGCAGGATTGTTTACACTTCTACTTCCTTTGTCCTGCCTATTGTGTTCTTCGTGTCTTGTCGCTTACTGGAACGGATGTATTTTGAACTGCTCTAAGTAAATTAAACCTGCTTTGTAACCAGAAGTCTCCAGAGTCCATGATTTCTACCAAGCCTGTGCAAAACTTCCACTAAACGCTAACATAAAAGACCAAGAAAACCAATAAAATATATATTTTAAAAAGAAAACATGCAAATGTGAGTAGATCAATAGGTACCACTCCAGTGGGAATATAATGGCACTCCTTGAAGTCATGCTGGCTACATGGCCAAGGAGGTGTCTATGGACAATACCGACTCTTTGGCTTAGAAATGGATATGAGCACCACCCTCCAGAGTCGGACACGACTAGACTTAACGTCAAGAGGAAATCTTTACCTTTTTTTAAGACTCAAGAGAGCAGGGTTCAAATCTCTACTCAACTATGGAAACACATTGGGTGACCTTGGGTAAGTCACATTCTCTTAGAGTCAGAGGAAGGCCATGGCTACTCCCCTCTGAACAAATCTTGCCAAGAAAACACAAGTGTTCAGTTCCCCTTAGGGTTGCCATAAATCAGAAATGGCTTGATGGCCTATAAAAGCAAAATACATGTCAGAGTTCCATGTATGTTTGGATGGAAGCCAAGCTGAGCCAGGAGTCTGTTGTTTATTATTATTATTATTATTATTATTATTATTATTATTATCTTTATTTGTACCCCGCTAACATCTCCCGAAGGACTCGATGCGGCTTACAAAGGCCAAGGCCTCGATAAAACAACAGCATAACAATACACATAACATTATAAAGCAAATCAAAACGTTAAGCAATAACAGTAAACAATAAAAACAATACACCATAACACAATAAAACTAGGTACAGATTAAAAAGTGCTGAGTATGACAGGTGAAATGTAGGATTTTAGGGTAAGTGCAATGTGCAGACAATCTTAAATCTCTGATAAAGTGCTTCTGGGACATATTGCTGGAGTTTCCTATTCTGGAAAGGCACACCAGAACGGCCAGGTCTTCAAGCTCTTCCTAAAGACTGCCAGTGTAGGGGCTTGCCTGATGTCCTTGGGGAGGGGGTGTTCCAAAGTCAGGGGGCCACCACAGAAAAGGCCCTGTCCCTCATCCCCACCAGACGCGCCTGCGACGCAGGTGGGATCGCAAGCAGGGCCTCTCCGGATGAACGAAGGGAACGTGTGGGTTCATAAACGGAGATGCGGCCACGCAGGTAGGCAGGTCCCAAACCATTTAGGGCTTTGTAGGTAAGCACCTGCACCTTGAATTGGGACCGGAAAATTAACGGCAGCCAATGGAGCTCCTTGAACAGGGGTTGACCTCTCTCTGTAAGGAGCACCAGTTAACATCCTGGCCGCCGCCCGTTGGACCAGCTGAAATTTCTGAGCCATTTTCAAGGGTAGCCCCACGTAGAGCATTACAGTAGTCCAATCTAGAGGTGACCAAGGCATGGACCACCCCGGCCAGATCAGCTTTTACTAGGTACGTTGTATCCATAAATCTAGTCAATCTGTCTTATCAGATTTCTTATCAGCTTTCGTTAGACTACAATATCATTATCCCAGCTGGCCAAATCACTAACTTGAGATGACAGTGGTTGCAATCCAGCTCATTTGAAAAACAGTAATCCTATCTCAGAGTAAAACACAGACAAGCAGTGACTGAAAACCTCACCTGTGATTTTAGCAGCATACCAGATCCCATCCTGATGCCTGGCCAGGCAGGATGAGCCCACGGCCAAGGAGCTGAGGTCAGGCTCCTCAAAAGGGCGCAGCTCCTCCACAGGAACCACCTGCCCATGAGAAAACCTGTTGGGAGGATCAACAGGGGGGAGAATCAGTCACAAATGACTTGGGCCTTGAGGTTCTGGAACTGAGACAACAGCGACAGTACATGTCCCCTATCTCCCTACCCCAACATCTCTGAATCTAAATAAAAACAATTTTCTAGGTACATTTGTCAATCTATATTTGTGGGTTAACCACTCATGGATTTGATTGTTCACAGATTTGATTATTCCGGGCTCTATGGCCATGTTCCAGAAGCATTCTCTCCTGATATTCCACCCACATCTATGGCACCTCCACTGCTGCCCTATATGTGACTTAGGCCCTTTACATGCAGCTATATAAAATCTCACATTATCTGTTTTCAACTGGGTTATTTTTATTTTATGTTATTGTCTGTTTTGTATGTATTTTCTTTGCTTTATTGTAATTATTTGGGCTTTGCCTCATGTTAGCTGCCAATTTTAAATTGGTCTCTAACATGTTCAATAGCTGGCACAATAAATGATAACGTATCAGAAGTTCATAATTACACTACAAACCAAAACATTTGCAGATCTGTTCAAGTGCAGAACTGGAGTTTTCTGTAAATGTGCACAAATCTCTCTGTCTTTAATTCTAAATCCTAGACAAAGATATTGTAAGAGAAAACAAATTGCTTTAGGTCCCAATCTTAACTGCTTTGAGTCCCAATTTTCTAACAAACATGGTGCATCAATTAATCAATGAATGTGAATTAGTCACAGCACCAAGATCCTTGGTAGATGAGGAAGAATGCCCTCCTCCTCCTGGTGTGAGTTTCAAAGACTTTTTGCAACCCCTTTCCCCATTGCATACCCTCTTAAAACACTTAATAGAGTTGAGTTGCTATGAGTATTCCGGGCTGTATGGCCATGTTTCAGAAGCATTCTCTCCTGACATTTCACCCACATCTATGGCAGGCATCCTGAGAGGTTGTGAGGTATACTGGGATTGTGGCGCAGTTGGCTGAGTGTCAGCTGCGTTAAGATCACTCTGACCAAAGGTCATGAGTTTGAAGCCAGCCCGGGTTGGAGTGGGTTTCCAACCAATTGTGTAGCCTGTTGTCGACCTTTGCAACCCGAAAGACAGTTGCATCTGTCAAGTAGGAAAATAAGGTACCACCTTAAAATGTGGGGAGGTTAAATTAACTAATTTATGAGGCCAAAAAAAAAAAAAAAGGCTCCAGCAAGCACTCCAACTAAAAGCATGCGGGGAATGCGGAAGTACTTCATCAGCGTCACAGATGGACAATGAAAGCGACAGCTCCCCTGGCGGCCAGAAGAAGTTAAATAGCCTCTGTCTATGTCTGTATATGTTGCATGTCAAAATTGGCATTGAATTTTGCCATATATGTGTACACTGTAATCCGCCCTGAGTCTCCTGCGGGGTGAGAAAGGCGGAATATAAAACCTGTAAATAAATAAATAAATACCTCGCAACCTCTCAGGATGCCTGCCATAGATGTGGGTGAAACATCAGAGGAGAATGCTTCTGGAACATGGGCATACAGCCTTGAAAACTCACAGCAACCCAGTGATTTCGGCCATGAAAGTCTTCAACAACACGTAATATAGTTACCGGCAATTCTCTTTAAACCGACATTTATCATCCAAGAAGAAGGGGCAAGGCTTCAAGGACTTATGGGTGGGATAGAGGTAGAGAACTCTGACTCCTGGGGTCCCGTCTTCCAAACATTCACTCCCCACAATCATGGCATTGTGGTATTCAAGGGTGCCCCAAGAACTGTAGTATGGAGCTTTCACTTTCATTCCACTGGCTTCTTCTTCCTCCTCCTCCTCCTCTTCTTCATCACCCTCTTCATTACAAGTGCTTGAGGGTCCATCCTCACCACCAATTTCTGCAATGGCTTCCTTGAATGCTGCATATTCATCATCATTGCTGTCTTTACCTGGCTCACGGCTATTTTGCGGCTGGTGAGTGGATGGAGAGACTGACGACGTCTCCGAGTCCAGGCCTGAAAAGAGTTTGCTCTTTTTCATGGACACAAGGCTGGATTCTGTCAGTTCTATCAGCTGCTTCAAATCTGTCTGCAGCTGTATGAGATCTGCCTGTTGCGTCGGATCTAGCCCGGCTCCCAGGGCCAGCTCCACTTGCTGCAGCTGAGCATTATAGGTCTGGATGGCTGTTTCCAAACTCTCCTCATCCATTGTTGAAGATCAGAAGCTACTTATTCTTGTGGGAATTCAGTGCATTTTTTTGGCTTAGCAAAGAGCAAGGAATTACGAGGAGAGATGCTCAGCAAAAGATGAAATGAGAATCTCCTTGTCAAGCTGAATCTTCTTCTTTTTTTTGTTGGCAACCAGGAACAGTGAACTACAGAAAAAGATATTTGTGAATTGTGGGAGGTGAAGAAGAATACATCTATGATATACAAAATGCAGGATAAAATAACACATCTGTTGAACACAGCGTGATACAAAAGAGCCGCGATTCTAGCCTCTAAAGTACAGATCTAGAGTAAAACACTTATTATCAATTCCATTCCAGATAGTTTTAATGATGAATTTTAAATTTCCACTCTATGTCTAACTTTTGTTTTGTGTATTTTAATATATATTTTATGGAAATATGTTTTAATATGTGTATTCTATCTTGTCTTTACTAATAATATAATATAGTATATTGTATATACATATAATATTTATAATATTATAATGTAGTACAATATAATACTACTAATAATAATTCAATATTATAATTATAATTATTTATTTATTTATTTACTTTGCTTCTATACCGCTGTTCTCAGCCCAGGGGCCACTCACAGCGGTGTACAACATAGGAAAAAACAAATACAAGACACAGTATAAAAAACAATTCACAATCCATCAATATACATCAACATCGTCATTACTACGAAACCATTCAGCGTCGTCTCATCATCCAAATCACAATCCAGTATCATTTCCCGTTGTTCCATTCCTATAGTCATTACCAATCATTGCACTTCTTGTTCGAACGCCTTCTTGAACAGCCAGGTCTTTAGCTTCCTGCGGAATATCATCAAGGAAGGAGCCAGACGCAATAGTGGCCGCAAAGAAAGCCTTCTCTGCGGCTTTTATTGCTGCGGCATATGCCCTTAAAAAGGACACAAACCATGTTCGATTTGGCTCGCTCGGAACCAAACGCCACACGCTCTCTAGTTCCCTCTTCCTTTGCTTCATCGCTGCCAACTCCTCAGTAAACCAAGGGGCTGGTTTAGCTCGGCTACTTGAGAGGGGACGTTCCGGAGCGATCGTGTCAATTGCCCTAGTCATCTCCCTATTCCAGAGAGCGACCAGGGCATCAATTATATATTTACATTACATGTAATATTACTAATAATATTACAATATAATGGTATAGTGGAATATAGTAATATATACTGATATTGTACTATGTTATTAATATAATATATTGTATGAAAATATATATTGTAAGCCGCTCTGAGTTCCCTTCGGGGTGAGAAGGGTGGCATATAAATGCCGTAAATAAATAAATAAATAATATTCTATGCAGTATTTTTAAATGATTATGGGTTTTGATTATGTGTTTTAGCAATGTTGCAATGCTGTGAGGAGAGGCGGGTAAGAAATAAAATTAATCTTATTCTTCTTCTGGAGCTAGACCAGTTTTGCATTTTGTAGTATAGCGCTGACAAAATTACCATCTGCCAGCTGCAAAAGGCCACCTTACTGGGATCTGCACACATCATTTGCCAATATATCACACAGCCCTAGACACTTGGGAAGTGTCTGATGTGGACTCATCTTGTTGTGTTTCAAATAATAATAATAATAATAATAATAATAATAATAATAATAAATTACTCACCCCTCCTTATGGCTCGAGGCATAGTTAAAATACACCATCACAAAATACCCAACATGGACCAGTTTTTCATTTTGTAGTATAGAGAGTGCATCGGCAATGTAGAATGAATGTAGTTTGACCCCATTTTAATAATAATAATAATAATAATAATAATAATAATAATAAATTAATTACCCACCCCTCGAGCCCCTCCTTATGGCTCGAGGCATAGTTAAAATACACCATCACAAAATACATTCAATAAAAACATATATTAAGACATATTTCTATAAAATTTAATTGCCCTGGTTCAATTCCATTTTACAAGGCTGAAGACCTTGTGAGGCACAGGACAAGAAAACAGTGCAAATTACACACATATAATAAAGGTTAAAAATTTAAAACCTACAGAAAATACTTTTTAAAAAAAGAATAAGGGATGTATTCTTTTTGGAAAAACCCTATATAATATTAAATAATAAATATAATATATATATTTTATTATTGTTTGCATTTTTAATCTTACTTTCTCATGTTGATCAAGGCTAAAAGAAGCTCAGGACATTAAAGCAATACAAATCACAACATATAATAAAGATTAAACCAGAATTAAAAATGGAATAGGCAAAATAACCTGAAACTACTTTCATTCAAACTGAAATGAAAAAATATTAAAACCATTTCCCTTCAAAATGAGACTTAAATCACTTCAAAGCATTAAAACCATTATCCATCAGGTTATAGCGATAGCATTATACCTCTAACAATAATATACTCATTATAATATATATAGTATACATTATATATATAATATTAGATATATAAAATATATATCTAATAATATAGATAATATTATATATATTATTAGATATACATTATATATCTAAGATTATATATTAGATATATATAATATTATATATCTATTACTGTCTAATATATCTAATAATATAGATAAATTATATATAATATTATTAGATATATATTATATATCTAAGATTATATATTAGATATATACAGAGACTATACAGAAGATCTGTATAGGAAGGATAATAATATCGAGGATAGTTTTGACGGTGTGGTGAATGAATTAGAACCAGACATCCTGAGGAGTGAGGTGAATGGGCCTTAAGAAGCATTGCTAACAACAAGGCAGCAGGAGACGACGGGATCCCAGCTGAACTGTTTAAAATCTTAAAAGATGATGCTGTCAAGGTGATGCATGCCATATGCCAGCAAATATGGAAAACACAAGAATGGCCATCAGACTGGAAAAAAAATCAACTTATATCCCCATACCAAAAAGGGAAATGCGAAAGACTGCTCAAACTTCGTACAGTGGCCCTTATTTCTCATGCCAGTAAGGTAATGCTCAAGATCCTGCAAGGAAGACTCCAGCAATACATGGAGCGAGAGTTGCCAGATGTTCAAGCTGGGTTTAGAAAAGGCAGAGGAACGAGACACCAGATTGCCAATATCCGCTGGATAATGGAGAAAGGCAGGGAGTTTCAGAAAAACATCTACTTCTGCTTCATTGACTATTCTAAAGCCTTTGACTGTGTGGATCATAATAAATTGTGGCAAATTCTTAGTGGGATGGGCATCCCAAGCCACCTTGTCTCTCTCCTGAGGAATCTGTCCAAGGACCAAGGAGCAACAGTCAGAACTGACCCTGGAACAAGAGACTGGTTCAAGATTGGGAAAGGAGTACAGCAGGGCTGTGTACTCTCACCATTCCTATTCTTGTATGTAGAGTGGATCACCTAATGAATTTTAAACAAGAGAAAAAGCCTATACAAAGTTACTCTCACCCAACCTTTTTAACTTGTATGCAGAACACATCATGTGATGTGCGGGGCTTGATGAATGCAAAGCTGGGGTGAAAATTGCTGGAAGAAACATTAACAACCTCAGATATGCAGATGACACCACTCTGATGGCCAAAGCGAGGAGGAGCTGAGGAGCCTTCTAATCAAGGTGAAAGAAGAAAGCGCAAAAGCTGGGTTGCAGCTAAACATCAAAAAACCAAGATTATGACAACAAGAATGACTGACAACTGGAAAATAGAGGGAGAAAATGTGGAGGCCGTGACAGACTTTGTATTTCTAGGTGCAAAGATTACTGCAGATGCAGACTGTGGCCAGGAAATCAGAAGATGCTTCCTTCTTGGGAGGAGAGCAATGTCCAATCTCGATAAAATAGTAAAGAGTAGAGACATCAGACTGGCAACAAAGATCCATTGCCTAGTCAAAGCCATGGTATTCCCCGTAGTCACCTACGGATGTGAGAGCTGGACCTTAGGGAAGGCTGAGCGAAGGAAGGTCGATGCTTTTGAGCTGTGGTGCTGGAGGAAAGTGCTGAGAGTGCCTTGGACTGCAAGAAGATCCAACCAGTCCATCCTCCAGGAAATAAAGCCCGACTGCTCACTGGAGGGAAGGAGACTAGAGACAAAGTTGAAGTACTTTGGCCACATCATGAGGAGACAGCAAAGCCTAGAGAAGACAATTATGCTGGGAAAGTGGAAGGCAAAAGGAAGAGGGGCCGACCAAGGGCAAGATGGATGGATGGCATCCTTGAAGTGACTGGACTGACCTTGAAGGAGCTGGGGGTGGTGACGGCCGACAGGGAGCTCTGGCGTGGGCTGGCCTTGAGGTTACGAAGAGTTGGAGACGACTGAACGAATGAACAACAACAGTAGATAAAATTATATATAATATTATTAAGTATATATTATATATCTAAGATTATAGATATATAATATTATATATCTATTACTGTCTAATATATCTAATAATATAATAAACTATTATATTATAGTATTGTATATTATGTTATATTATATTATTATATAATATATTACTATATTATTATTATATTATATTATAATTGTATATTATAATATAATATAATATATATATTATATTATAATATAATATATTATAATATAATGTAATAATATATATATATAATAAATTATATATAATATATTAATATTATATATATATATATTAATAATATAATATAGATAATATTATATATATTATTAGATATACATTATATATCTAAGATTATATATTAGATATATATAATATTATATATCTATTACTGTCTAATATATCTAATAATATAGATAAATTATATATAATATTATTAGATATATATTATATATCTAAGATTATATATATAATATATATTATATATCTTATTACTGTATATAATATTATTATAATATATAATATAATATATAAATATATATAATATTATATATCTATTACTGTCTAATATATCTAATAATATAGATAAAATTATATATAATATTATTAGATATATATTATATATCTAAGATTATATATATAATATATATATAATATTATATATCTATTACTGTATATAATATTATTACAATATATAATATATATAATATATAAATATATGTGTTATATGTTACATATTATACATTAATAATAGATATAACAATTACTCCAAAGGCCACCAAGAGCAACTCAACTCAGCAGAACTTCTCCCTTCTCCTTTCTCAGCATCCCTCAGCCACCATCCTCCTCTTCCGGCCTCCACCGGCATACAAACACGGCCACTTCCGCTTTGCTAGACAAGCCCCCACAAAGCAGGAAGCTCCCTTAACCGAGCATTGGCCGCCATCTTGGATTACGTTAAAGCCCCCTCTAGCCTTTCCCTCTCTGTGGTTCATCATGGCCGCAAGGAGCCAAGCGGTGAGAAGCGTCAAGGCGGCGCGGTGCATTTCGGGAAGAGTAGTTCCCTCCGAGGCGAAGGGGAAGGCATGCCTAAGGGACGTCGGGCAGGGCGGGGACTCCATTTCCCGGGATGCTCTGTTCTAAAGGGGAAGCAGCCTGAGAGAGCTTGGCCTGGGGTGAGTATGTCTCCTTCTTCAAGGCCTCAGGGCTGTTTTTACTCTATTTAAAATATGTTTTATGTTTTAAAAGTCTTTTTGTAAAAGAGAAGGGAGAATTAGGGGCTTGCTTGGGAACTGTTTGGTGTGTTTATGTGTTGTTATTCTTTTAATAGGAAATATAGCTGTATTTTATGGGAAATTAATACAATTTAATTAATAAAAATCAAATTAAAAGTATAAGGTTTTGCTGTAAGGTGAATCTCATAAAGGGGGCACTCTGAACTATTATAAGAATGATAGATAAATTACAATAATCATATATAATAATTATTATTATTTAGTAATAATGCTCTTAATAATTATTATCATTGTACCTATTTAGTAATAACAAAACTATTTATAACTGTTATCATTGTATTCATTTTGTCATAATACTATTAATATTATTGTATTCATTTGGTAATAATGCTATTAATAATTGCTATAATTATATTCATTTCGTAGTAATGCTATTGATATTGTATTCATTTAGTAACAATGCTATTTATAATTATTTTTATTACATTCATTTTGTAATAATACTTTTATTATTGTTGTATTCATTTGGTAATAATATTAATTATTACAATTATATTCATTATTGCGCCCGTACCTTGGGACTTGGCCACGGTAGTCTGACTTGGCCACGGTAGTCCACGCTCTGGTTACATCCTGTTTAGACTACTGCAACGCTCTCTATGTGGGTTGCCTTTGAAGACAGCTCGGAAGCTCAAACTAGTCCAACGCTCGGCAGCCATGATTTTAACAGGAGCGGAGCGCAGGGAGCATACAACCCCTGTTGCGCCAACTCCACTGGCTACCGATCTGCTACCGGGCTGAATTCAAAGTGCTGGCGTTGGCCTTTAAAGCCCTAAACGGTTCCGGCCCAAGCTACCTATCCGACCGCATCTCTGCCTATGAACCCACCAGGACTTTGAGATCTTCCGGGGAGACCCTGCTCTCGATCCCGCCTGCTTCTCAAGCTTGGCTGGCGGGGACGAGAGATAGGGCCTTCTCAGTGGTGGCTCCTCGGCTGTGGAACGCCCTTCCTACGGACATTAGACTAGCACCATCTCTAATGGTATTCCGCAAAAAGGTGAAGACCTGGATGTTTGAGCAGGCGTTCGAATAATTAGTGCAATGATTGGTTAATGAACACTGGAATGGAACAATGGATGACGAATCTGGAACATGTTTTTGATGACGAGACGACAGTGAATGGGTATTGTAGTAACTGTTTATTAATGTAATGTGTTAGGTTGTTAACTGTTTTTATACTGTAGCACTGAATTTTTGCTGTTCGTATTTGTTGTGAACCGCTGTGAGTCGCCTTCGGGCTGAGAACAGCGGTATATAAGTAAGGTAAATAAATAAATAATAAATAAATAAATTTAGTAACAATACTATTCGTAATGATGATAAATGTATTCATTTAGTAATAACAATACTATTCATAATTATTATAATTATATTCATTTGCTGACCTGAAGGTCGGCGGTTAGAATCCAGAGAGTGGGGTGAGCTCCTATCTGTCAGCCCCAGCTTCCCAAGCAGGGACATGAGAGAAGCCTCCCACCGGATGGTAACACATCTGGGCATCCCCTGGGCAACATCTTTGCAGACTGCCAATTCTCTCACACCAGAAGTGACTTCCATCATATTTGCTCCTGATATGGAAAAAAAATCAATAAACAATCATTTTATAATTATTTATTTATTAAACAATCAGGGGCATCTAATCACCTCTCAACAAAAGATTGCTCCAGGCACTGCTGGGCCATCAAATGCTAATCAAGGTGGTCAGTTGAAACATTCACACCTAGCTCCAGCAGACAAGGGTTCTTTGTCCCACCCTGGTCTTTCCACAGATACATAAACCCTTTTTCCTAATTCCAACAAACCTCACTGCCTCTGAGGATGCTTGCCATAGATGCAGGCGAAACATCGGGAGAGAATGCCTCTAGAACATGGCCATATTGCCCGAAAAAACCTACAACAACCCAATTATTTATTTATTTACTACATTTATATGCTATTTACTATATTTACTACTATTAATATTGTATTCATTTAGTAATAACAATACTTTTCATAATTATTATTGTTGCATTCATTTAGTAATAACAATACTATTAATAATTATTATCATTGTATTCATTTCGTAATAATACTATTAATAATTATTATTGTATTCATTTCATATTCATATGGGAAAACATATTGACTTGAGTCTAAGCAGAGGGTGGGAAATGGAGCAGATACTGGTAAATTTTAAAATAAAAATAGATTCCAATCAAATTACATTAGTTGAGGCATCTGTAGATTAAATGTTTTTGAATATTTACATAAAACTGTAATTTAAGATAAGACTGTCTAACTGATTAAACCATTATTCTAACTTTTTTCAATGTGTATGTGCTTATGTGTCCTTCCAATAATAATGGAATAAAATAATAAATTAATGAAACAATAATAGAGTAAAATAATGTAAATGTATCATAATAACAATAATAATAATAATAATAATAATAATAAATGTAAGAATAAAAATAAATAAAATAAGAATAAAAGTAAGAATGTAAGAATAAAAATAAATGTAAGAATAAAATAATAAATGACAACAATGAGACTGGACAATGTTTTTAACAAGGATACACTATGAATTTATATTTTATTGATATGTTTAATTTTTATTATATGTTATGTTTCTAATTGTACTTATGATATTGTAAGTCATTGAATTTTACCCTGTTAACTGCCTTGAGTCGCCTACGGGCTGAGAAAGGCGGTATACAAATACAGTAAATAAATAAATAAATAAATGTAATAAAAACAATAATAGAGTAAAATAATAAATGTAATAATAAATAGAGAAAGTAATGAATGTAATAATAATAGAGAAAAATAATAAACGTAATAAATAGTAATAATAATAGAGTAAATTAATAAACAGTAAGAACTGACCACGGAACAACAGAATGGTTCAAGATTGGGAAAGGCGTACGGCAAGGCTGCATCCCCTCACCCAACCTTTTTAACTTGTATGCAGAACACATACGATGTGTGGGGCTAGATGAATGCAAAGCTGGAGTGAAAATTGCTGGAAGAAACATTAACAACCTCAGATATGCAGATGACACCACCCTGATGGCCGAAAGCGAGGAGGAGCTGAGGAGCCTTCTAATCAAGGTGAAAGAAGAAAGCGCAAAAGCTGGGTTGCAGCTAAACATCAAAAAAACCAAGATTATGGCAACAAGAATGATTGACAACTGGAAAATAGAGGGAGAAACCGTGGAGGCCGTGACAGACTTTGTATTTCTAGGTGCAAAGATTATGGCAGATGCAGGCTGTGGCCGGGAAATCAGAAGACGCTTACTTCTTGGGAGGAGAGCAATGTCCAGTCTCAATAAAATAGTAAAGAGTAGAGACATCAGACTGGCAACAAAGATCCGCCTAGTCAAAGCCATGGTATTCCCTGTAGTAACCTACGGATGTGAGAGCTGGACCTTAGGGAAGGCTGAGCGAAGGAAGATAGATGCTTTTGAGCTGTGGTGTGGAGGAAAGTTCTGAGAGTGCCTTGGACTGCGAGAAGATCCAACCAGTCCATCCTCCAGGAAATAAAGCCCGACTGCTCACTGGAGGGAAGGATACTAGAGGCAAAGTTGAAGTACTTTGGCCACATCATGAGGAGACAGCAAAGCCTAGAGAAGACAATGATGCTGGGAAAGTGGAAGGCAAAAGGAAGAGGGGCCGACCAAGGGCAAGATGGATGGATGGCATCCTTGAAGTGACTGGACTGACCTTGAAGGAGCTGGGGGTGGTGACGGCCGACAGGGAGCTCTGGCGTGGGATGGCCCATGAGGTCACGAAGAGTTGGAGACGACTGAACGAATGAACAACAACAAATTAATAAATGTAATAAAAATCATACTAATAATAGAGTAAGATAATAAATAACCTTGTCTCGAATATAAGCCGAGGGGAGCTTTTTCAGGCTGAAAAAGGGGCTGAAAAACTATGCTTATACTCGAGTATATACAGTAGTTAATTAACAATTCTCTATCAGCATTTGTGGTATGCAGTCTCCCCCTCTGCTCTCCATCCACCTTCTGTTTACAAGCAGCTAGGCTACATTAAATAGTAGTTTCCATCTGTGAAGATGTGTATTTTTATTCCTATAGTCATGTAGTGTTTAGACAATAGTTAGTAATGGTAAGTATGTAGAATTGTATTTTATTAGGGATGGTAACTGGCTTGGCTTGCCTTAAGCTGAGTTGCCATAGTAACGGGGGCGGAGCCAACTGCCTCTTGGCAGCGCAGCTTTTTGAAAGTGGTCAGTCTGTAGCCGGAGAGTTACAGAAGAAATCTGATCTGTGAGTCAGGAGTCTGTAGCCAGAGAGTTACAGAATAGGACTGATCTGTAGATCAGCAGCTTTAACCGGAAAGAAACGAGAGGATTCTCTAGTGAGAGGATCAAGGAACGTATCTGTAGTTGTCAACTACAGAGGTAGTTGATCCTGTGTGGAAGTGGAAATCCAACAGGAATCCTGTAGTGATAGAACACAGGGAGGACTGATTCTTTGAATAAGAATCAAGATTTGGCTTGGAGCCAATACTGTTAAATAAGGCACTTAGCTTATTTGTATTATTATTTTATTTTTATTTACTTTGCTTATATACCGCTGTATCTCAAGCCCGAAGGCGACTCACAGCGGTTCACAAACAGTAGAAACAGCAGTGGTTCCATACAACATATAACAATTGACTTAACACATTATCCATAAATTACCAATAAGCAATTACAATGCACAATTATTACAAAAAACAACCGTACCCAATCTTCTCATCATCCAAGCGTAGTCCAGATTCGTCATCCATTGTTCCATTCCAGTGTTCATTAATCAATCATTGCACTAATTATTCGAACGCCTGCTCAAACAGCCAGGTCTTCACTTTTTTGCGGAATACCATTAGAGATGGTGCTAGTCTAATGTCCGTAGGAAGGGCGTTCCACAGCCGAGGAGCCACCACCGAGAAGGCCCTATCTCTCGTCCCCGCCAGCCGTGCTTGAGAAGGAGGCGGGATCAAGAGCAGGGCCTCCCCGGAAGATCTCAAAGTCCTGGTGGGTTCATAGGCAGAGATGCGGTCAGATAGGTAGCTTGGGCCGGAACCAGAATGGTTGTTAAATAAAGAAACGTCCTGCCTAAAGAAACCATCTTAAATCTATTTAGTGTCTAGACTCATTCAAGAAACCCTATAAATGTAACCAGCTAAGTTTGTGCCTCTAGAGAGAAGTAACATTGAATCTATTCCACTCCTGTTATATTCCAATAAACTTGTTACTGTTTTTTCACAAGCCTTGCCTCTGATATAGTTTCTTCTAAGCCAAACAGGCCTGCATAAGAAGAAGGACCAAATTAGGGTTGTTAAACGTAAGCTACGCTATCAAATAAATAAATCTTCCTTAGGTTCTTGTAAGTTTTTTCAGGCTATACGGCCATGTTCTAGAGGCATTTCTCCTGACGTTTCGCCTGCATCTATGGCAAGCATCCTCAGAGGTAGTGAGGTCTGTTGGAAGTAGGAAAAGGGTTTATATATCTGTGGAATGGCTGGGGTGGGGCAAAGAGCTCTTCTCTGCTGGAGCTAGGTGTGAATGTTTCAACTGACCACCTTCATTAGCATTTGAAGCCCTGCGGTGCCTGGGGGAATCTTTTGTTGAGAGGTGATTAGATGTGCCTGATTGTTTCCTCTCTGTTGTTTTGCTGTTGTAATTTTAGAGTTTTTAATACTGGTAGCCAGATTTTGTTCATTTTCATGGTTTCCTCCTTTCTGTTGAAATTGTCCACATGCTCGTGGATTTCAATGGCTTCTCTGTGTAGTCTGACATGGTGGTTGGTGTGGTCCAGCATTTCTGTGTTCTCAAATAATATGCTGTGTCCAGGCCGGTCCACCAGGTGCTCTGCCATGGCCGACCTCCCCGGCTGAAGTAGTCTGAAGTAGTCGTTGGGGTCCACGGGCATGTGGACAACTTCAACAGAAGGGAAGAGACCATGAAAATGAACAAAATCTGGCTACCAGTATTAAAAAAAACTCTAAAATTACAACAGCAAAACAGCAGAGAGGAAACAACCAGGCACATCTTAACACCTCTCAACAAAAGATTTTCCCAGGCTCAGACAGGCCTTCAAATGCTAATGAAGGTGGTCAGTTGAAACATTCACACCTAGCTCCAGCAGAGAAGAGCTCTTTGCCCCCCCGCCATTCCACAGATATATAAACTCATTGTCCTAATTCCAACAGACCTCACTACCTCTGAGGATGCTTGCCATAGATGCAGGCGAAACGTCAGGAGAAATGCCTCTATAACATGGCCCGATAGGCCGAAAAAAACCCACAAGAACCTAGTGATTCCAGCCATGAAAGCCTTCGACAATAAATCTTCCTTAATTAGTGGTCCCTTGACAACCAGCTCCTAAGTTGATATTGATAATTACTGGGCTTCCTCACACCATCTTAATCTGGAAACAACTACATTAGTTAAGGTTTCTGTTTCACTCATGTTTGAATGGCAATTGTGAGTAAAGTGTGTTGGGATCTTATTTTGGGAGAAGGCTTGGATATACATTCAATAAATAAATAAATACCTGTAGGCGAGTAAGCAAATAACTCTTCACCACAAAGTCAAAACATTCTTGCTTTGACGGTCTAGTGATGTGTGGTTTCAGTGCACAAACATTATTTTGGAAGAGATGAAACCAATCCTGGTGCAGGATGGTTAAAAGATACATCCTTGCAAAGCAAATCTCGAAGTATCTGTATTTTATTCAAATGCCAAATATAGCCGCATGCAAGAAAGAAACCGCAGATGTATCTGCTAGTTTAGAAAGCTGACGCTATCTCCTTCAAACTAGTTATATATAGAATGGAGAAACCACACCACCTGCTTCTGTTTTCTTTGTTTTTGTTCTTGAGCTGACACTGTGGTTTTAAAGCATCCTCCCTAAACTGTGAGAATGATAGCAACCTTCTCATTTGCACTGATAGTGGCTCGGAGCTAAAATGGCAAAGCAGTTGCCATTGTTCTCGCTTGATTTCCTGCCTCCCTGACTTTCCTATTTTACTTAATAAAATAAAATAAAATACATGTACGGTATTATCCCTTTCAACAGCTGGTATATTTTGACAACTTATAAATAGTAATTGGGACTGTTTCGTAAGTCCAGTGAAAGTAGCTGTAATACTAGTAAGTAATTCAGGTACTCCTGGTCAGTCGTAAGGCCGAACAGGGCATAGGGTTTCAGCCTGTGCTTGACGGGTTTACACTCCCCCTGAAGGCACAGGTTCGCAGCTTGGGAGTGATCCTGGACTCATAGCTGAGCCTGGAACCCCAGGTCTTGGCGGTGGCCGGGAGAGCTTTTGCACAATTAAAGCTTGTGCGCCAGCTGCGCCTGTTCCTTGGGAAGTCTGACTTGGCCACGGTGGTCCACACTCTGGTTACATCCCATATTGACTACTGCAACGCTCTCTACGTGGGGTTGCCTCTGAAGTCTGCCTGGAAGCTGCAATTAGTCCAACGCTCAGCAGCCAGATTACTAACAGGAGCAGGGTACAGGAAGTGCACAACTCCTTTCTTTCGCCAGCTCCACTGCCTGCCAATTCGCTTCTGAGCACAATTCAAAGTGCTGGTTTAAACCTACAAAACCCTATACGGTTCCGACCCGGTTTAGCTGTCTGAATGTATTCTCCCCTATGAACCATCAAGATAATTAAGATCTTCTGGTGGGGCCGTGCTCTCGGTCCCACCACTTTTGCAATTGTGTCTGGCGGGAACGAGAGACAGGGCCTTTTCTGTGGTGGCCCCTCGGCTATGGAACTCTCTCCCGATTGAGATCAGATCTGCCCCCTCCCTCCTGTCCTTCAGGAGGCTGGTGAAATCCTGGCTATGGAAGGAAGCATTCCCAGAGTAATGGTTGAAACCAGCTACAGAACAAAGTTATCAACCACACATACGGACTGAGTTGGACATGATTTTATCTTGGCGATTTGGCTTATTTGCAATTTTAATCAATATGTATTTTAACCTCGTTATTATATGATGTTTTTAGATTGTGCTTTTAGCATTGAGTCCTTGCTGTAAGCCGGTCTGAGTCTTCCCCTCCTAATACTCCTAGTTGTATCGTTACTCGAAGACTCCATCACAACAGAGTCCCTCTACGGAGGTTGAGAAGATCCGGATATAAAAGCTTTAAATAAATAAATAATAAATATAGTTCTAAAAAGCTGGGAGAATTTTTTTAAAAGGTCTTTGTTTGATGGGGAGCAATACACGCAGTAATCTGAGCTTCTGTTAAGCTCAATCAGGGAGAAGAAAGTGGAGTGGCAAAAATCATTTCAGTATGTTTTGGAATCATTTTGACTGTTTTGTTTTCTCTTTTGATAGGAGCAGAATGTATACCTTGCTCTCTGGGCTTTACAAGTATATGTTCCGGCGGGATGAGTACTGCATCTTGATCCTTGGACTGGACAATGCTGGGAAAACGGTGGGTTCCACTTTTGCTTAAGGGTTTCCTGGAACCCATACTAGCTCTTTCCTTTCTCAACGGAAAAACCCTCAACTTACACATCAAGTTGACTTAGACACTAAGATATGGTAAACGAACAATAGAAAGAAGAACAGTTGGAAGCACAACCTTTTTGGGCTTTTATTTACTTTACATTTTCACTGTGTTTGTTGTTGCTGAACTACAGGGTGAGGCAGCATAACTTCCTTTTTTCAAAACTTAATAAAACCCATTGTATGAATCAGAATTTTTTTTTATAATGTAGGCGCATACCTAAAGTTCTGTTTTATGTAGTTTTGAAGATCAAATTAGGTAGGTGACGTCCCCCATTCTCCATACACTGAGTAAACTGATTTCTGGCATTTGTCATGACTCTTGCCAGCATAGCAGGCAGTATGTTGGCAATTTCTTCCTGGATGTTGGTCCTCAAATCTTGTAGGGTCCTTGGATGATTCACAAAAACACGGGATTTCAAAAAACACCATAGAAAAAAAATCACAAGGGGCCAAATCTGGAGAGCGGGCCGGGGATTAACATAACATAACTCAAAAACCACTGGATGAATTGACACCAAATTTGGACACAATACACCTATCAGACCAACGAGTGACCATCACTCATAAAAACACTAAAAAACACAGCAGAAGAGACTTAAAAAGCAAATAAATAAATAAAAAACATATACATGGACTGGGCCACAGCAACACGTGGCAGGGGACAGCTAGTTGCATATAAATCACAGTCTTTGCACTGATGTCTAGCAGTGGCAAGATTCAATTTTGCAGCGTTGTTTAAATGACCCACTTTCTTCTTTTCTTTTCCTCCCAGACCTTCCTCGAACAGACTAAAACAAGATTTAACAAGAATTACAAAGGAATGACCTTATCCAAAATCACAACCACTGTGGGCTTGAACAGTAAGTAAATTGTTTTTTGGGGAAGGATGAAGAGAACCAAGTCCAAGGTGACATGAACTTCTGAGGCAAAAAAATTATTAACATAAAACACCATGAGGGATGAAGTTTGCTCATGCCTGTAGCAGACTATAATGTGTTTGCATGAACAGAGAGCACCTTCCTCTTGAACAAGCCTTAGTAAAGTTTTGTGGAACTACTTTGTGGTGTTTTACTGTAAAAAAGCAATAAATAAACAATACCACACATGCGAAAAAGCTTCTTCCCTTCTGAGTAATCATACCTTGTTTTGGCCACCGCTTTGATTTATTTCTGGTCATGATTTCCAACTTTTTGGATGAGGATTTTTTTGTGCTTTTATTTACTTTACATTTTCACTGTGTTTGTTTTTGCTGAACTATAAACCTCCTTGAGTTCTATGCTTGAGAGAAAGGTAAGCCAGATAGATAATTGAATGCATGTTGAAAACCCCCTCACTGACTTAATATAGCCTATTTTATTTACTTGTCTTTATTTACTGACCTATTTTATTTACTTGTCTTTGTCTCCTAGTTGGCACAATAGACGTGGGCAAGGCCAGGCTAATGTTCTGGGATCTTGGAGGACAAGAGGAACTTCAGTCTCTCTGGGATAAGGTCAGTCTAACAACTCCTATATTCTCTTAATTGTCTTTTGGCAGGGGAGGGTTTTTAACAGGCAGTGTCTCCAATCGTGTTGCCCAATTTTAGTATATATGTATATTCAAAAAGCTAAATTTCACAATAGTAATGCCTAACTTGTTTCATTGACTTTTAAATGGGAATGACATTATCAGCTTAGGGTAGTTGTGAGTTTTCCGGGCTGTATGTCCATAGTCACCTACAGATGTGAGAGCTGGACCATAGGGAAGGCTGAGCGAAGGAAAATAGATACTTTTGAACTGTGGTGTTGGAGGAAAGTTCTGAGAGTGCCTTGGACCATAAAAAAATCCAACCAGTCCATACTTCAGGAAATAAAGCCCGACTGCTCATTGGAGGGAAGGATATTAGAGACAAAGTTGAAGCACTTTGGCCACATCATGGGATGAAAGGAAAGCTTAGAGAAGACAATTATGCTGGGGGGAAATGGAAGGAAAAAGGAAGAGGGGCCGACCAAGGGCAAGATGGATGGACAGTATCCTTGAAGTAACTGGCTTGACTCTGAAGGAGCTGGGGGTGGATATGGCCAACAGGGAGCTCTGGCCTGGGCTGCTGTATTGTTGGGCTTGGCCTCATGTAAGCCGCACCAAGCGTCCTCCTGGCTCCCCTTCTTTATTCTGGCCCAGAGTGGCCGTTGGTGTTGGGGGAGGGGCGCTGATGTCACAGGGGACAAGATGGCAACGTCCTCCTGGCTCCCCTTCTTTATTCTGGCCCCAGAGTGGCCGTTGGTGTTGGGGGAGGGGCGCTGATGTCACAGGGGACAAGATGGCAACGTCCTCCTGGCTCCCCTTCTTTATTCTGGCCCCAGAGTGGCCGTTGGTGTTGGGTGAGGGGCGCTGATGTCACACGGGACAAGATGGCAACGTCCTCCTGGCTCCCCTTCTTTATTCTGGCCCAGAGTGGCCGTTGGTGTTGGGGGAGGGGCGCTGATGTCACAGGGGACAAGATGGCAACGTCCTCCTGGCTCCCCTTCTTTATTCTGGCCCAGAGTGGCCGTTGGTGTTGGGGGAGGGGCGCTGATGTCACAGGGGACAAGATGGCAACGTCCTCCTTGCTCCCCTTCTTTATTCTGGCCCCAGAGTGGCCGTTGGTGTTGGGTGAGGGGCGCTGATGTCACAGGGGACAAGATTGCAGTATTTCTTGCTGTTTTTTTGTCAGTGTTGATGTGGAGAGTGTCCGGTTTGCCTACTCTGGAACATGCCTTCTTTAAGATCCTTCTTTAAGGGTCCCTTTCAAATCTATGATACTATATCTCTCGGTGTGTGAATCATATCTATCTATATCTATGGCTGGATGGCTCTTTGTCAGGAGGACTTTCATTATGTTTTCTTGCCCTGGTGAAGGGAGTTGGATTGGATGTCCTTAAGTATTTTCTGTTGGTCATGGGTGTTCTGTGTGGGAAGTTTGCCCCAATTCTGTCATTCATGGGATTCAGAATGCTCTTTCATTGTATGTGAACTGTGAATCCCAGTGACTACAACTCCCAAACATCAAGGTGTATTTCCCCCAAACTCCATCTGTATTCATATTTGGGCGTATTGAGTGCTTGTGTCAAGTTTGGTCCAGATCCATCATTGTTTGAGTCCACAGTGCTCTCTGCATGTATTTATTATTTATTTTTATTTGCTTTATTTGTATACCGCATTTTTCAGCCCAATCAGGCGACTCAATGCGGTTTACATGGTGCAGGTTATCACAACAATGTAGGTGAACTACAACTCCCAAACCCAAGGTCAATGCCCACCAAAACCTTCCAGTATTTTCTGTTGGTCATGAGAGTTCTGTGTGCCAGATTTGGTTAAATTCCATCGTTGATGGAGTTCAGAATGCTCTTTGATTGTAGGTGAACTACAATCCCAGCAACTACAACTTCCAAATGACAAAATCATAATTTTTTGAGTGATGGTCTCTCCTTGTGTTGTGAGACATTTTGTTGCCAAATTTGATGTGATTTCATTCATTGGTTCTTTTGTTTTTAAGGTACTCATTATGCACAGAGCATTTATATATAGATAGATGATAATAATAATAATAATAATAATAATTATTATTATTATTATTATTATTATTATTATTATTATTATTTTGGGTATGCACCCCATGTGCTGCCAGTAAGTTTCCACAGGGCATTATTGCATGCAGCTACTTTGTGCTTGGTGTTAATACAATGTTTCTAAATGTTAGTGTTCAATTGGGGAGATATGTAGGTTGGTAATATCAATAAATTCTCTATTTTTTCATGTTCAAACTGTTTAGAGTCTTGCGGCATGTAGCATGAGTGACATAAGATTTTGCTTTACCCAATTCTTAGTCTCACTTTCGAATACTTTTCCATCATAGCTGTTACTATCCAAGTACCAATATCATAACTGCTGTTACAGTCAGTGGCCACACTGCTGCAGTACAGCACCGTAACATTTTCAACCATCCAAGTAACTGCACCATAGTATTGCTTGTATGGGAAATTGTGGCATAGAAACAGACATGAAATCCAACTTGAGAAAATGTAATAGTGGATCAGCTTTTCTTTCAAGGTCTTGTTTTAGGTCTGTGAAATGTTTGCTTCCTGATCAGATAGATCAGTGGTTCTCAACCCACCTAATGCCACGACCCCTTAATCCAGTTTCTCATGTTGTGGTGACCCCCAACCATAACATTGTTTTCATTGCTACTTCATAACTGTCATTTTACTACTGTTATGAATTGTCTTGTAAATATCTGATATGCAGGATGTATTTTCATTCACTGAACCAAATTTGTCACAAATACCCAATATACCAACATTTGAACACTGGTGGGGTTGGGGAGGGATTGATTTTGTCATTTGGGAGTTGTAGTTGCTGGAATTTATAGTTCACCTATAATCAAAGAGCATTCTGAACTCTGCCAGCGATGGATTTGAACCAAACTTGGCACACAGAATTCCCATGACCAACGGAAAATACTGGAAGGGTTTGGTGAGCATTGACTTTGAGTTTGGGAGTTGTAGTTCACCTATATCCAGAGAGTACTGTGGACTTTGAGTTTGGGAGTTGTAGTTCACCTATATCCAGAGAGTACTGTGGACTCATGCAATGGTGGATCTGGACCAAACTTGGCACGAATACTCAATATGCCCAAATGTGAACACTGGTGGAGTCTGGGGAAAATAGATCTTGACATTTGGGAGTTGTAGTTGCTGGGATGTATAGTTCATTACAATCAAAGAACATTCTGAACTCCACCAACGATAGAATTGGCTCAAACTTCCTACATGGAATCCCCATAACCATCAGAAAATACTATGTTTTCAGATGGTCTTTGGTGACCCCTCTGATACCCCCTCGCGACCCCCCCCCCCCGGGGTCCTGACCCTCAGGTTGAGAAACACTGAGATAGATTAGCTCTCCATGCCATCACTGTATTGATCTCCATATATATTTGTATCAAGAGAAGCACGACTACAAGAGGCCGTCAGACACAAGGGCTTTCTGCTCCCTTCAGTTGCAAGCAAAGCAGTGCTCGAATCTATTGTACTATATTTCCAGTATTGTTGTGTTCACAAACAATATCTGCATTTAACAGTTTAGAAAGGAAGTATCGTATCATTGGAAGATTCTTCAAAGATGTAAATGTTCAATGATAAATTACATAATTTTTTTATGTGGGTTTAGTACTATGCAGAATCCCATGGAGTCATCTATATTATTGACTCTACCGATGAAGAACGGCTTCAAGAATCGAAACGAGCTTTTGGTGAGTATAAAGAAATATCTCTTGGAAATTATCCCTATAGAAGCAGTGGTTGTATATGGTTTTTAAAACTGTTTGGGGAAAAGAAGAGTCTATTAATGTGTTTTGCCAGCAGGTCAAATATGCAGATAATAACTGGAGTTTAGAGATGCTCATATACACATACAAATATAGATGGGGGAAAGGGGTCTCCACTGAAGCTTTATCACACATCCTTGTTCTTCAGAGTCCAGTTATCACAGGGTCAGAAAGTGAGGGGAAGTCTCCTGAACAGGGGCACAGACAGCAAAAGAAACATCACAGGGGTGTTAACCCTTCTGTGTGCTAATAATGTATGTGTGTGTATATATATTTGTGTGTATGTTTATGTATATATATGTGGCTGAAGTTACTGCATATACTCGAGTATAAGCCGAGTTTTTCGGCCCTTTTTTAAGACTAACACCACCACCCCCCTTCGGCTTATACTCGAGTCAAAGTTATTTATTATTTTACTCCGGTATTATTATTACATTTATTATTTTACTCTATTATTATATTTATTATTTTACTATATTTATTATTGGGGTTTTTTTACATTTATTATTTTACTCTATTATTATTACATTTATTATTTTATTCTATTTATTATTATTATTACTTTTTTTTAGTTTACTCTATTATATTAGTGGGAGGATACATAAACACATTTGCACTGAAGAATGTTAGAATAATGGTTTAATCAGAGTTGGACAGGCTTATCTTAAATTACAGTTTTACGTAACTATTCAAAAACATTTAACCTACTGCTGCCTCAATTAATGTAATTTTATTGGTATCTATTTTTATTTTGAAATCTACCAGTAGCTGCTGCATTTCCCGCCCACGGGTTATACTCGAGTCAATACGTTTTCCCAGAGGGTTTTTTGTGGTAAAATTAGGTACCTCAGCTTATATTCGGGTAGGCTTATACTCGAGTATATACAGGTAAATTTAAAAATGTACCTATTCTGGTTAACATACAAATAGAACTTAAGAACAAACCTATCAAACCTATTTTGTTCATAACTTGGGGACATCTTGTGTGTGTATTCACAGTATGCATTATTTGACGTTAATTCTATTTCCGAATTTGCAACTCTTAATTTGCTTTCAAGTCTCTAATTTTCCTGGAGTCTCTCAAGGTTTTGTTTTGATTTTTTTATTCCATACAAGATTCCTTTTTATTATTTAAGTTGGAGCCTCTGGTGGCGCAATGGGTTAAAATCTTGTGCCGGGAGAATGGGTTGAGCTCCCTCTGTCAGCTTCAGCTCCCCATGCAGGAGCATGAGAGAAGCCTCCCACAAGGATGGTAAATCATCAGAACATCCAGGCGTCCCCTGGGCAATGTCCTTGCAGACGAGCAATTCTCTCACACCAGAAGCGACTTGCAGTTTCTTAAGTTGCTCCTGACATGGAAAAAAAAGCTATTTAGTTCCAGGTTGTTTCACCAAATGAGCCCTTTCAATACATATTGTCAAAGCATTTTAACTTCAACAGACGTAAGACTAGATCTCTCTTTGAATTTTCCTTCTTATCTTTTCACTTCCTTACAGAAAAGATGGTTACTAGTGAAGTCCTGGAAGGTGTTCCATTGCTGGTTCTGGCTAACAAACAAGATGTAGAGGTGAGTTTGTATCATACTTAAAATTATTGCCCAAGTTGGTATCATCTATTTCAGATTTCAGGCAATTTTCCCCAAAATTTTATTTATGTTTTGTTTATATTAGAATGTATAGAGTGGTGGTTGTGATTTGTTTTGTTTTTCATCTATCACCCATGAAAGCAGTTAACAGCATTAAACAAAATATCAAACACTACAACTGACAATAAAACAGAATGACCATAATAAAAGAATTAAGTGTTGTCAAAGGCTTTCATGGCTGGAATCACTGGTTTGCTGTGAGTTTTCTGGGTTGTATGGCCATGTTCCAGAGCATTCTCTTCTGATGTTTTGCCCACATCTATGGCAGGCATCCTCAGATATTGTGAGGTATGTTGGAAACTAGGCAAGTGGGGTTTATAATAATAATAGTAATAGTAGTAGTAGTAGTAGTAATAATAATAATAATAATAACAACAACAACAACAACAACAACTGGGTGCAGTGCCTAAAGACCTTGGCCTGCACTTAAACACAATTGGCGCTGACAAAATTACCATCTGCCAGCTGCAGCAGGCCACCTTACTGGGATCTGCACGCATTATTCGCTGACACATCACACAGTCCTAGACACTTGGGAAGTGTCCGACGTGTGATCCAATACAACAGCCAGCAGAGTGTCTGCTGTGGACTCATCTTGATGTATTTCAAATAATAATAATAATAATAATAATAATAATAATCTTTATTTATACCCCGGCACCATCTCCCTAATGGGGACTCGTGGTGGCTAACATGAGGCCAAACCCAAAAATGCAATACAACACAATAAAATACAGAATACAGGAACAAAACTACATCAGAAGTTAATTACAATAGCAAAGTAAAATAATAAAGTAATTTCACACAAAATAAAAACGAACAGGATGGGCCACTGCACCACCGGGGTGTCCGAATACAATATAATTATATTATAGTACTAGCCATCCCCTGCCACGCATTGCTGTGGTCCAGTCTGTGTATATGTGTTGTATGTGTGTATATATGTGTATGTGGCTTTGCGCATTCATTGTAATGTATTTTTTTTGTTTGTTGGCTTTTTAAAGTCTTTTCTGCTGTGTTTTTCAGTGTTTTTATGAGTGGTGGTTCTGAGTGGGAAGTTTGCCCCAATTCTGTCGTTTGTAGGGTTCAGAATGCTCTTTGATTGTAGGTGAACTATAAATCCCAGTAACTACAACTCCCAAATGTCAAGGTCTATTTCTCCCAAACTCCATCTGTGTTCATATTTGGGCATATGGAATATTGGTGGAAGAGACCTCATGGGCCATCCAGTCCAACCCCCTGCCAAGAAGCAGAATATTGCATTCAAATCACCCCTGACAGATGGCCATCTAGCCTGTTTAAAAGCTTCCAAAGAAGGAGCCTCCACCACACTCCGGGGCAGAGAGTTCCACTGCTGAAAGGCTCTCACAGTCAGGAAGTTCTTCCTCATGTTCAGATGGAATCTCCTCTCTTGTAGTTTGAAGCCATTGTCCGTGTCCTAGTCTCCAAGGAAGCAGAAAACAAGCTTGCTCCCTCCTCCCTGTGGCTTCCTCTCACATATTTATACATGGCTATCATATCTCCTCTCAGCCTTCTCTTCTTCAGGCTAAACATGCCCAGCTCCTTGAGCCGCTCCTCATAGGGCTTGTTCTCTAGACCCTTGATCATATGGAATATTTGTGCCAAGTTTGGTCCAGATCCATCATTGTTTGAATCCACACTGCTCTCTGGATGGAGGTGAACTACAACTCCCAAACTCAAGGTCAATGCCCACCAAACCCTTCTAGTGTTTTCTGTTGGTCAGGGGAGTCCTGTATGCCACGTTTGGTTCAATTCCATAATTGGTGGAGTTCAGAATGCTCTTTGATTGTATGTGAACTATAAGTCCCAGCAACTACAACTCCCAAATGACAAAATCAATTTTTTGAATGAAGGACATACATTGAGTTGTTAGGTGTCTTGTGTCCAAATTTGGTGTCAATTCGTCCAGTGGTTTTTGAGTTCTGTTAATCCCACAAACGAACATTACATTTTTATTTATATAGATAATAATAATCTTACCTGCCTCTCCTCGTGGCTTGAGGCAGGTTACAGCATAATTAATAAACATAAACATTGTAAAAATATTAAAATATATTTCTTTAAACAATTTTCCACTGTCCTCCAACTTCCCATTCCATCTCTGGCTGGATTGCATCCCAGATTTTTCTTTCATTTCCTTCTTCTGCAGACTAGTTTACAAGAAATTGGATTTAGCAACCGAACAGTAGCCTCAAATATACCAATAAAAATGTCATAAAAGGGCTATTGAGCTGGTCCAGTTTGTAAGAGCATCATTCCTTCATGGATTTGCAATCCAGTGTTTGGCTCCAAGTTACACATATTGCATTGATTTTGTAGTGCCATCAGCATCACTGATGGAAATAGATCTTAGTTGGTATGCAGTCTTTTAATCTTTAATGGGCCATTTGATGGTTTGTTGCAACAGTCTCAGCTTTTCAGAGTCGTCATATGGTTTCCTATCCCAACACGCAAACTCTACGTACTCTTTTTCGGTCTCTCATCATGCTTTGACGCTGACTGCGGTCAGGCAGCACTTTCATGTGTACAGAAAGAAGGCCGCCCAAATAAACATTGGGCCTAGTCAGGCTTATGGAAAAGTAAATAAAAGGGCTGTTGACCATGCATTTGGGGAAGGGGGAGGCTGTTTATGTGCAAATGCAACGTGTATTTGTAATGATGGGGAAATATGTAGCTTTGCTTTAGAAACTAGGTAGAAAAGCTCCTTTGGTGGGATGTGGAATCTGACCTTGAAGGAAGTGAGTCACATTTTGTTTCTGCTCTACTATCTCCTTTCCATCAGCACTTTTTGGGTTTGTTTGTTTTTGTCATGTCAGGAGCGACTTGAGAAACTGCAAGTCGCTTCTGGTGTGAGAGAATTAGCCGTCTGCAAGGACGTTGGCCAGGGGACACCCGGATGTTTTGATGTATTACCATCCTTGTGGGAACCTTTTCTCATGTCCCCGCATGAGCAGCTGGAGCTGATAGAGGGAGCTCATCCGCACCCTCCCCGGATTCGAACCTGCAACCTGTCAGTTTTCAGTCCTGCCGGCACAAGGGTTTAACCCACTGCACCACTGGGGGCTACTTTTTAGGTGATATCTTGCAAAGCTTTAGAGTAGGCATGGGCAAATTTCTTTGACCCTCCAGGTGTTTTGGACTTGAACTCCCATAATTCCTAACAGCCAGTAGGCTGTTAGGAATTGTGGAAGTTGAAGTTCAAAACACCTGGAGAGCCCAAGTTTTGTATCAAAAACTTTGCATAATGTATTGTCGAAGGCTTTCATGGCCAGAATCACTGGGTTGTTGTAGGTTTTTCAGGCTATATGGCCATTTTCTAGAAGCATTCTCTCCTGACGTTTCACCCGCATCTATGGCAAGCATCCTCAGAGGTTGTGAGGTCAGATACCTGCCATAGATGCAGGTGAAATGTCAGGAGAGAATGTTTCTAGAACAGTGGTTCTCAACCTGTGGGTTCCCAGATGTTTTGGCCTTCAACTCCCAGAAATCCTAACAGCTGGTAAACTGGCTGAGATGTCTGGGAGTTGTAGGCCAAAACACCTGGGGACCCACAGGTTGAGAACCACTGTTCTAGGACATGGCCATATAGCCCAAAAAACCTATGACAACCCAACTTTGCGTAAGTTAGTATAAAACTGATAAAAATCGGAGCGCAAGTGGCTAAATATCTTGTGACCAAAAATGGACAACAACAACCGCATTGGCTGTAGCCTCCAATAACTCTTCCTCTGTACATGAGGCAGGTCATTGTAGACAGGCATACAGATGCGGGATTGTCTGTTTTGCTCCACAGTCGCACGAGGTGTGGAATTCTTTTAGGTCGTGCCATTTTGCCAGGTTGTCTTTTGATCTGTCCACTCCACTTCTGAGATCATTCAGGGACTTCCAAGTTGCTCATTCTTGGTTTGCCCCTGGAGGCAGATCCTCATGGGGGGCCATCCAGTTGGGATTTCCTGGTTTCGCTGTGCACATATCTTATTTGTAGTGCAAAAAAACACTTTAAAACAATACAATAATTAAAATGAAGAACAATTTAAACAAATCTAAACTTATTAGTATTTCACTGGGAAGTGTGGGCCAGCTTTTGGCTGATGAGATAGGAATGTTGTTGTTGTTGTTGTGTGCTTTCAAGTCATTTCAGACTTAGGTTGACCCTGAGCAAGGGCCGGGTAAATGACCTTGGAGGGCCCCTGGGCCTTAGTTTGAGGACCCCTGCTTTATATAGATGACATATAGATGATAGATGGTATATTAGGTAGGTAGGTAGATAGGCAGGCAGGCAGGCAGATAGATTAGATAGATAGATATTCTGCCAAGCTTGTAGTTCTGTGGTTCTCAACCTTCCTAATGCTGTGACCCCTTACTACAGTTCCCCATGTTGTGGTGACCCCCAACCATAAAATTACTGTCATTGCTACTTCATATCTGTAATTTTGCTACGTTATGAATCGTAATGCAAATATCTGGTAGGCAGGATGTATTTTTATTTACTGGACCAAACTGGGCACAAATACCTGATACACCCAAATTTGAATACTGGTGGGATTGTGGGGGGATTGATTTTGTCATTTGGGAGTTGTAGTTGCTGGGATTTATAGTTCACCTACAATCAAAGAGCATTCTGAACTCCACCAATGATGGAATTGAACCAAACTTGGCACACAGAACTCCCACGACCAACATAATATACTAGAAGGGTTTGGTGGGCATTGACCTTGAGTTTGGGAGTTGTAGTTCATCTAAATTCAGAGATCATTGTGGACTCAAACAATGGTGGATCTGGACCAAACTTGGCACAAATATTCAATATGCCCAAATGTGAACACTGGTGGAGTTTGGGGAAAATAGACCTTGACCTTTGAAAGTTGTAGTTGCTGGGATTTACCTACAATCAAAGAGTATTCTGAACTCCATCAATGATAGAATTGGGCCAAACTTTGCCCACAGAACCCGCATACTCACAGAAAATACTGTGTTTTCTGATGGTCTTTGGCGACCCCTCTGACGCCCCCTCGCGACCCCTCACCCAGGGGTCCCGACCCCCAGGTTGAGAAATGCTGATGTAGTTGTTTACAAGGGATGTCTTTGGACAAAACAGACCACAACTGGCCAGAACTATTGCTTTAAAACTCCAAGAAGAGTGAAGTGTTGCTTTGAAAATATGTGACCAATATTTGACTGACTCCTTTTTTGGTCATCTGCCCAGTTTTTCTTTCCCCATTATATATTGTGGCTTTTCCACCTCTGTTTTCTTTCTAATTTGACACTGTTGAGTCTACAAAACCACAGGCACAGTGCTTAGGTTACCTAATTTCATACGTCTTGGAATTCGATAGCACGTTAATGATGTTTGCTTCCGTCAAACTTCTTATCTGCTAGAGACGTCATCACTTAAACACTTTAGGCATGCGGATTTTAGGTGTGAAGGTTGTTACCATATATGCAATTGCCTTAAAATGTCAAACTCTTTCCATTAGCTCACTAGTAGTGGAATCTCTGACCTTCTGTGATTAGATTTATGTAAGCAGGGATCATCACTTCTTGGCATTCTGAGTAAAGCAAAGAGGGAGAGGGCTAAACATTTCTGTAGTTGGAGACAACCGCTATAAAAAAAGGCCCATAAGAGTTGAAAGAGACCCCAAAGTCCATCCAATCTAGCCTCCTTCGGCCAGGCAGGAAAACACAATCAAAGGACTCCCGACAGATGGCCATCCAACCTCTGCTTAAAAGCCTCCAGGGAAAGAGACTCCTCTGGACTCCATATGCCACCAATGAACAGCGCTTCCCCTTTCGACTACAGCAGCAATTGCCCAACAAGGAATTTTCTTCCCTCGGATATGCCAGAACTCTTCTCTCGCTGGAGTTGTGCCATTCATATGTTCCCATAAATGATATGTTTAACTCTTTTTTTTTTTGGATCTTTAAGACATAAAACATACATTGCTAACACCAGGGCTGTATTATCAAAGGCTTTCATGGCCCAAATCACTGGGTTGTTGTGGTTTTTCAGATTTAAAGTTTTTTAATACTGGTAGCATAGATGTAGGCGAAACGTCAGGAGAGAATGCTTCTAGAATATGGCCATATAGCCCAAAAAACCTACAACAACCCAAGAAATCATAAACATGAACAAAACCTGGCTACCAGCATTAAAAAACCTTTAAAATTATAGCTGTAAATAAAGAACAACACTCAAACACAGGGGAACTCCAGATAAGAAACAATCAGAGACAGCTAATCACCTCCCAACAAAGGATTCCCCCAGGCAGTAACAAGTCACACCTAAAAACTGTCAGACCATCAAATGCTAATCAAGTTGGCCAATGGAAACATTCACACCTTGGGTTGTTGTAGGTTTTTCGGGCTATATGGCCATGCTTTAGAAGCATTCCCTCCTGACATTTCACCTGCATCTATGGCAAGCAACCTCAGAGGTTGTGAGAGCCTCACAACTTATGAGGATGCTTGCCATAGATGCAGTCGAAATGTCAGGAGAGAATGCCTCTAGAACATGGCCATATAACCCGAAAAACCTACAACAACCATGATTCCAGCCATGAAAGCCTTCGACAATACATTCACACTTGCTCCAACAAACACGGGTACTTTCTCCCACCCTGGACCTTCCACAGATTTGCTATATATATATATCTATCTATCTAMKTAGATAGATAGATATATCCTATATATATATATATATATATATCCAATTTTCCTAGTTTCCAACAGACCTCACAACCTCTGAGAATGCCTGCCATAAATGCAGGCAAAACGTCAGAAGAGAATGCTTCTAGAACATGGTCGTTCAGCCCATAAAACCTACAATAAACCAGGGCTGTATTCATTCTATGAGCACAGAGGTTGGGAAGGATTCCCTCCCTCATAAAACTATTTTATGACTGGAGATTTCTTCACTCTGGATTTTGTGGATGGGGCACATGGAGTTCTGGGTGCATATTTTCCGAGAAATGCATCTCATTAACTCTGTTGCAGTTGGTGGAGATAAGACACGTTGTGCATTGGGACCCCTTAAAAATTGGCATATGCACTTGACTTGTTTCCCTCCCTTCCTCTCACCGTAGAACTGCCTGTCGATCCCCGACATCAAGACCGCCTTCAGCGATTGCATCAACAAAATTGGGAAGAGAGACTGCTTGACCCAAGCATGCTCCGCTCTCACTGGGTAAGTGGAGAAAGTCAGCTTGTTTGTGGTGTTCTGCCAAAATGTAGCAAGATCCTGGGGAGTAAGACAGAGACACATTCCATGCATGAAAATTGCCAGACCCTAGTGCAGGGGTAGGTGAAGTCCACCACACCTGGAGGGCCGAAGGTTCCCTACCCCTGCCCTAGTGCATGGCTGTACACGTACAGTGAGTTTACCTTTTGACCACTCCACTTCAGCCTTGACAAAAAACATTTCTCAAGAGTGGCAGCATAGGTGAGAGCTATGATGCTTAATGAATATTGCTGTTTTGCAATAAAATTATAGCTGTAAATAAAGGACAACACTCAAACACAGGGGAACTCCAGACAAGAAACAATCAGGGACAGCTAATCACTTCTCAACCAAAGGATTCCCCCAAGCCCCCACACTAGCAGGTTTTAAGAAAAATCTATAAACTTGGGTTTTTTCGATGTGCTTTCGGAGAGTGACCATCCAATCCATTATTGTTAGTTTCCATCTACAGTTGTAGGTTTTTTTTTTTGGGCTATATGGCCATGTTCTAGAGGCATTCTCTCCTGACGTTTCACCTGCATCTATGTTTCTGCCCTCAGCGGCAGAAACATTCATACCTAACTCCAATAGACAAGAGTTCTTTCTCCCACCCGGGTCATTCCACAGATATATAAACCCAATTTTCCTAGTTCCAACAGACCTCACAACCCCTGAGGTTGTGAGGCCATAGATGCAGGTGAAATGTCAGGAGGGAATACCTGTAGAACATGGCCATATAGCCCGAAAAAACCTACAAAAACCCAGTTTATTATATATTATTATTTTGTTGTGTGTCTTCAAGTTGTTTCCTGCTTATGATGACCCTAAGGCACATACATCAAATTCAAAGCCATACAGTAATATCTGCATTACTGGTAGCACAGCGGGTTAAACTGCTGAGCTGCTGAACTTGCTGACCAAAAGGTTGGTGGTTCAAATCCGGAGGGTGGGGTGAGCTCCCACTGTTAGGCCCAGCTTGTGCCAACCTAGCAGTTGCCCCCAGTGGCGCAGTGGGTTAAACCCCTGTGCCGGCAGTTCGCAGGTTCGAATCTGGGGAGAGCCAGATGAGCTCCCTCTATCAGCTCCAGCTCCTCATGTGGGGACATGAGAGAAGCCTCCCACAAGGATGATAAAAACATCAGATCATCCAGGCGTCCCCTGGGCAACGTCCTTGCAGACAGCCAATTCTCTCACACCAGGAGCGACTTGCAATCACTCCTGACACAACCAAAAAAAAAAGTTCGAAAACATGCAAATGTGAGTAGTTCAATAGGTACCGCTCAGGTGGGAAGGTAACGGTGCTCTATGCAGTCATGCTGGCAACATGACCTTGGAGGTGTCTATGTACAGTCTATGTCAGCCCAATTTACCATCATAGGCCACATAATCCAACCCACACAACTTCGTTGAACTTCAGTTAGTTTTGTAAATTACTGTGGGCAATTATTTAGATTTGATGTCACTATATAACTCTTGTCTGACTCAGTCTGATTGTGTTGGTTTAATTTATGGTTGTTATGTTTAACTCATTGACATTTGGTTTAATTTGATGTTAGGTTTTTAATGCTGCTTTCATATGTGGGGTCTCTCTGGGATTTTATGTTGTTGTCTGTCTGTTCTATGAAGGCATTGAGTGTATGCTGCTGTATGTTGGGATCCACCCTGAGTCCCTTTTGGGAGATAGGGCAGAATAGAAATAAATTATTATTATTATTATTATTATTATTATTTGAAACACAAGAAGATGAGTCCACAGCAGACACTCTGCTGGCTGTTGAATTGGATCACACGTCGGAAACTTCCCAAATGTCTAGGACTGTGTGATGTATCGGCGAATAATGAGTGCAGATCCCAGTAAGATGGCCTTCTGCAGCTGGCAGATGGTAATTTTGTCAGTGCCGATTGTGTTTAAGTACAAGCCAAGGTCTTTAGGCACTGTAGCCAGTGTGCCGATCACCACTGGGACCACCTTTACTGGTTTGTGCCAAAGTCTTTGCAGTTCGATTTTTAAATCCTCATATCATGTCTGCTTTTCCAGTTGTTTCTCTGTAATCCTGCTGTCACCTGGGATTGCGACATCAAGGATCCATACTTTTTTTTTTAACACGATCATGAAGTCAGGAGTATTGTGCTCGAAAACTCTGTATGTCTGAATCCGGAAGTCCCAGAGGAGTTCGACGTGTTCATTCTCTGTAACTTTTTCTGGCTTGTGATCCCACGAGTTCTTTGTTGCAGGCAGATGGTATTTGTGGCACAAGTTCCAATGAATCATTTGGGCAACGGTGTTGTGCCTCTTCTTGTAGTCTGTCTGTGTGATCTTCTTGCAGCAGATGAGGATGTGATCTATTCTTTCATCTTGCAGAGCCTACATTTGGGATCTGTTGTCAACTTTTCAATTAATATTATTATTATTTGAAACACAACAAGATGAGTCCACAGCAAACAAGATCACTCTGCTGGCTGTTGTATTGGATCACACATCGGACACTTCCAAAGTGCCTAGGACTATAATAATAATAATAATAATAATAATAATAATAATTTATTATCCTAGACACTTAGTATAGGGAACCAACTAAGGAAAAGATAATGAAGATGATTGCTAAAGATAGAGATAAAAGCTGGTGTTTTCTTCTGTTTCCTCAGCAAAGGGGTGAATGAAGGCATCGAGTGGATGGTGAAGTGCGTGGTGAGGAATATCCATCGCCCTCCGCGGCAGAAGGACATCACGTAAAGAGCGGCGATGTGGGATTGAATTCAGGACCCCTTTGTCCTGCAGAGACTCCTTCCTCATTGTCTTTCTGTCTGACTCCTCCTCTCTTTCATTCCCTCGCTCTCTCTTTCCTGAGGAGATTCCCAGGACTTCTGGTTCCTTCTTAGCCAGTGTGTGGCAAACGAAAAGGCACACATGTTTCCGTTTGGTGTCTCATGGGAGAACCCCATAACCGAGAAGGATTTGGACTCGAGTCTTTACCTAGCGATGCCTCCCGAGCAACAGGGCAGGGTGCTTGTGCGCCTGCCTGACTGTTGATGCTCCGCAATTTGCACAAGGCTCGGGTTCCTTCCGCATCGCTTTAACTTGTGAGACTAGTGATTCTTCAGGCATCCGGTGTGCTTGAAATACTGGAAATCTCTCATTCTAGTTCCCATTTGTTCTCAGCCTGAATTGTATCAGCAGTGTCCGAGTATATTTGTATTGCGAAAGGGGGCTGGAAATGGGAGGAAATGGTTCCTTTTGTAACAAAGACAGCATTTCACTAATCTAGGAGGTGATGCCGGGGCTCATGCCTCCACTTCCACTCTTACTATAATTCTCCATAAACGAGGTCCACGTTGACTTTTACTCTGTTTGTTTCCAATCCGCTTTGTCACTTTTGTCTGCAGTGTTGCAGAAGTAGAAGCCAAAGGCTGCAATGTAACGTTTACTCCCACAGTGAGGTGTACTAGATGAGGCACAGACACACTTACACAATCTTTTGCCTCTTGTTTCAGTTGAAAGAATGGGGGGAAAATAGTTGGGAGCAGTTCTGAAACTGAATGGAACTAAGTTGCTAAATCTGTTCCCAGGATGCAGAGAGACTGTTCAGGGATTTCTGTCCAATAAAGTTTGATATTCCTCTGTGTAGGTTGCCTTCAATGCAATTTCAGCAGAATTTATATGCACTGAACGCTGTTCTGCCGAGCGGGCCCCTCCAAATATGATGTTTTCCTAGACCTCAAAAATCCAGACCCCAAAAATCCAGAGGAGAATAGCTACTTCTGGAATTCTCAGGATGCAGTAATATACCTTTTACATAGACACCTTGAGTAACCTGTGTTATTTTGTCTTCGGAGGCACATCTCCCTCTCCATTGCTTGTGTCAAATACATTATACATGGCACTGGATTCAGCATACTCCAAAATATTTCAGTTCACACTTATCTTGATTGATTGATTGCACTTATTTACCGCTTTGCTCACTCCTGAGGGAGACTCAAAATGGTTCTCAACTTAATAATGGCAAAGTTCAATGCCTCACAAGTATAAAAATCATCACATATTTAAAATACGTATAACTCTCTATCTATCTATCTATCTATCTATATATATATATATATATATATATATATATATATATATATATAAAACAACCACCATGTCAGACTACACAGAGAAGCCATTGAAATCCATAAGCATGTGGACAATTTCAACAGAAAGGAGAAAACCATGAAAATAAACAGAATCTGGATACATTCCCAGAAACCACAGCTAATAGCAAATCCTATTGACTTGAAGGACTGTTGGTCTAAGAATAACGCAGAATTGTTCCAGAGGACATAAAAAATGTCCAAGAAGGACATATTTTGTTGGACATGAATAAACAAAACTACAGGTATAGGTCCTGTGGATATGGGAGTCACATTGCATTATAAGATGTTTCAGTTTTGGTTTAGAGTTTGTTTGTTTGGAATCCTGCCCTGTAGCAAAGAGATAAAATCATTTCTCGTGTGAAACCTGCTTTTGTTTCCCATGAGAAATAATTGTATCCCTGCTACAGCAAAACCTACATGGTTTGGAAATCTTACTTCATAAATAACCACCTTGTATGTCTGACCAGTTCCCAGTGTGGTCTCTGTTTAGAAGAAATGTCTCACAATGATGCTGACAGAGAAGAGAGGCTTCTAGACAAGATCAAAGAAAAAGCTGTGGAGACTTGGGAAATCCCTCCCTACTTTTGTCAATCACGTCCATCATAAACACAAGGTTTGGGTAAGTCCCTGCTTGGACCATCAAAACAAAGCTATGAGCTCATCCACGTCTTGCTGCCTCAACTTTCTGCAGAAACTGATAAACCACAGGTGTGCATGCAAAGATGTCAGAGTCTGGGTTGTTGTAGGTTTTTCAGGTTATATGGCCATGTTCTAGAAGCATTCTCTCCTGATGTTTCGCTACCATCTATGGCAAGAATCCTCAGAGGTTGTGAGGTCAGAGTCTGCTTGAATGAGCCCACAAAATCTGAGGAATCAGGATTGCACAGTTCGAAGAGACCACAAGGGCCATCCAGTCCAACTCTCTTCTGCCATTCAGGAAGACACAAAGCACTCCCAAAGATAGGCACACTGCCTCTGTTTAAAAACCTCTGGAGAAAGAGATGCCAATGGACACCCAGGTGGCAGCAAATGCTGTTGTCAAATATCATCGGATTTGGCTCTCCTGACACCACAAGATGTCTTAACCTGCCATCCAGACCTCTCTTTGCCTCAAGGCATGGAGGATCTGGCCACTTCCCGCACTCGGAGGCAGTGAAGGTATTCATTGAAGCCACCCAAAAGGCATCAACCAAAAAATCTTATACTTATGAGTGATCACACTTAGTTTCCATTGTAAACAATTCGGCCTTGGTCTTATTGTGGCTCCCACACCAGTAATCCTGTACTTCCTGGTCCATCTGTCACATAGAGCGTTATCCCTCTCTTTAACTCAAGTGTTCCTTAGCAGCAGTCTCTTGATACTGTAAGAAAGCAGGAAACCATCCTGCTTCCTCGATCCCTTATCCACCCATTTCTCAGAGGTTATAAAAGTGTGTACCCACCAGTTGCTTCCCCTCCCTCTACCGCCAGTGTGGGGCTTGGGATTAGTCAACTCTCCAAGACTCCATTTAAACCCATGGCTTCTAATGACCTGACTTACCTCTCTGGGAAAACAGCTTCCCTAGTAGCTGAAACTTCTATGAGGAGTGCCAGTGAACCATGCACACTAAGAGCGGGCCCCACATACCTAAGTTCCCACAAGGGTAAGGTGGTCCTGCGTACTTTCCGAAAGTGGTGTCTTGCTTCCACATGTGCCAAGATATCGTCCTGCCGGCCACCTTTCAGAATCCTTCCTCATCTTTAGAAGTGTTACCTCATTCCGTGGATGTTTGGTGAACCCTCACCTTTATGTCCACAGAACATCATCTCACAGAAAATTGCCCAGTACTGTAAGGATGCCTTAGGCTCTCTCAAGGAGATGAACATTGAGAAGATACTGGAGAGCCTCAGGCATCCTTACAAGTACTGGGCAATTTTCTGTGACATGATGTTCTGTGGACATAAAGGTGAGGGTTCGTCAAACATCCATGGAACGAAGTGACACTTCTAAAGGCAAGGAAGGATTCTGAAAGGCAGCTGGCAGGACGATATCCTGGCACATGTGTAAACAATACAGATACTATATGCCTCTCCTATCAGCTCTCTGGCCAGCAACCTACACAAGAGTTGAAGGCCCATTCAGTCAGAGCAATGGCAATCTCAAGCTTTCATGCGGGGCTAGAGTGGGGAGAGGAGAGGTCCATCTGCCGGGCAGCAACATGGTCTATTCCTCTTACGACCACTGCAAGCTGAATGCCATTTCCAAAGAAGAGGCTGCCATTGTCAGAGTTGAACTCTTCTCCTTGATGGCATGGTCCCTCTTTCCACAGTGGGTAGCTTGCTAGTCACCCATATGTGTGATTCCACAGAGACCACGAAGAAGAATGAATCGCTTACCTGTAACTGTGTTTCTTCAAGTGGTGATCTGTGAAATTCACACATCCCTAAGGAGAAGAGGCATGCTGTTATCATGCCTCTTCTCCTTAGCTGCCAGTCAGTGGCTGGGGAAACTGAGGCTCTAGCCTTGCCTTTGGGCATATATACTCTGGGAGAATATATATGTCATCAAAATGTTTCAATAGAAGAGATTGAAACCTTTTTAACTTGTATGCAGAACACATCATGCGATGTGCGGGGCCTGATGAATGCAAAGCTGAGGTGAAAATTGCTGGAAGAAATATTAACAACCTCAGATATGCAGATGACACCACTATGATGGCCGAAAGCGAGGAGGAGCTGAGGAAATCAAGGTGAAAGAAGAAAGCGCAAAAGCCGGGTTGCAGCTAAACATCAAAAAAACCAAGATTATGGCAACAAGAATGATTGACAACTGGAAAATAGAGGGAGAAAATGTGGAGGCCGTGACAGACTTTGTATTTCTAGGTGCAAAGATGACTGCAGATGCAGACTGTGGCCAGGAAATCAGAAGACGCTTACTTCTTGGGAGGAGAGCAATGTCCAATCTCGATAAAATAGTAAAGAGTAGAGACATCACACTGGCAACAAAGATCCGCATAATCAAAGCCATGGTATTCCCTGTAGTAACCTACGGATGTGAGAGCTGGACCTTAGGGAAGGCTGAGCGAAGGAAGATAGATGCTTTTGAACTGTGGTGTTGGAGGAAAGTTCTGAGAGTGCCTTGGACTGCGAGAAATCCAACCAGTCCATCCTCCAGGAAATAAAGCCCGACTGCTCATTGGAGGGAAGGATACTAGAGACAAAGTTGAAGTACTTTGGCCACATCATGAGGAGACAGCAAAGCCTAGAGAAGACAATTATGCTGGGGAAAGTGGAAGGCAAAAGGAAGAGGGGCCGACCAAGGGCAAGATGGATGGATGGCATCCGTGAAGTGACTGGACTGACCTTGAAGGAGCTGGGGGTGGTGACGGCCGACAGGGAGCTCTGGCGTGGGCTGGTCCATGAGGTCACGAAGAGTCGGAGATGACTGAACGAATGAACAACAACAGAAGGTTCTGAATGGCAATGCCCATGCACAAAGTAAACCCATATGTGCGAATTTCACAGAATACTTAAAGAAACACAGTTACAGGTAAGCAACTTGTGCTGCAATGTTGTGATTGCATTGCCAAAGGATGAGATAGTTGTGCCTGCATATGGCTCATGTACCACAGTGTGGGGGAAGAAGACATGACCACATCTTGATGGGCCATAAGGAAGAAGGGAAACTTTGACACAGCCTCACAATGTTGTTGTCATTCAGTCAGGAAGTGAATGGTGCCATGGGGAGTTTCCCCAGGAAAACAAGACAGACAATGGAGTTCTACAAGAAGTTCAATCTAGGAGAAACAAAATCAAAACCAAATGGTGTGTGATGTGATGGGAGATGTCTCATTCCTTATCCAACTTAAAACCAAAGGATGGCTATTGAAAGATATCAGATGAGAAAGCTGGAATTTCCCAGTGCCTTCAGGGAACCAGCCATTATATTGGATTCTCTGTTAGGTCCGTAACAAGTCAGATTTATTTGAGGTGTTGATGGATTATCCCAAGATCTAAGATTTGGGAGCCTAAACCTTATATCTGACTCCTTGTGATGTGATATTGGGTGCATCTACACTGCAGAGTTAATGCACTTTGACATCACTTGAACTACCATGTCTCCATGCTATGTACGATATTGTGAGAGTTGTAGTTTAATCAGGAACCATCACTTTTTGGCAGAGAAGGCTAAAGGCCTTCCGAAAAAACAACTCCCATGACTCCATAACAGTGAGCCATGGTCTCAAACTGCTTTAATTCTACAGTGTAGATCAGTGGTGCCCAACTTTTTTTGACCAGGGACCACTTGACTAGGGACCACTCTCTAACGTTAGTACCAAAATAGACAAGTTAGGAGATGGAACCCTACTATCATCAGCTAGTTTTTGGTCAACTTTAGATTTTGATTTGGTTATTTGGGGTGGTGGTTCAGAAAATTGCATTGGATAGACCATGCCAGCTCTAGTTTCTGATACAGAACATATGCTATCCAGTAGTCACCATCTGCTCGCCC